TGTTCTTGTTTGTTTCTTGGTTCGATCTGGGAAATATAAGTTCAGGGCGATTAGGGGAGTTGATTTCCTTCCTTGGTTGTTCCCCCCGTAGAGGGGTTACTTGGTAGCCCAGTGGTGCCCTTTTCCCTTCTGTTGGTTCAAGGCTCCCCCAGCCTTTTTTGCTAAATCCCTCAAGCCCCCTGGAGACGTCTCGGAGGATCCAAAAAATAGAGCCCCCAAATGATGACCCTATACTATTATCGCATCATTCCTAGGAACATCCTAAACCCTACCTATTGCATCATACCTAGGAACACCCTAAATTAAACCCTACAACCCTAAACCCTGCAAAGGGATCTACTTTTCGGGATCCTCCCAAGGGGTCTGCCCCCCCGCGCAGTGCAACCCGAGGCAATGCGGTCCGGAGTTTGGAGGGGACCTGAAGGTGCCCAGAAGGGATCTGTTTTTTTTTTTTTTTTTTGGTCCGGGGTGTTGGGGTTTAGGGTTTCGGGTTTGGGATTTAGGGTTTAGGGTTTTCACACAAGCAGCTGGCGAGATTGCCTGGAGCCCAGTATTCAAAAGGGTTTAGTGTTTAGGCACCAAGGCAGCTTGGCATCGTCCCATTGCGCCTCTGTCTTGGGGCCATGCCACTCCCAATCTTGACCTAAACCCTAAACCCTAAACCCTAAACCTTAAACCCTTAGGGACCTCCGAGCCCCTCAGCATTTCCCCTGCATGGGGACGGTCCCCCGACACAGTCGGGATTGCTTCCAGAGGGCAGCGAAACCCCCAACGCTCAAAACGAAACGCCACTGGCATGCGCGGCGCGTTCAAGAATCCCCGAAACCTTAAACTCTGAACCCCAAAACCCTTTGTTGGTGTTATTGGTTGATTGTGCAGGGCTTAGGTCTAGGAGCTTAACAAGCCCCATTTTCACCCGAAGGACAACTTTTCACCCCAGAAAACTCGTGCAATAAGAGGAAGGGGTGGAGGATTCTAGGTTCCCCCAAAAATGCTCTTGGGTGCGGAGAGGGGGGAGGGAGGGGAGTTGAGGTTCTTCCAAACCCTAAACTAACCCCTAAACCCTGAAACCCAAATTCAATCTTCAGTCCTAACAGGGGTACCACTGGGCTACCAAGTAAACATTCTCCCTCAACCCTAAACCCTAAACCTTAAACCCTTAATTATTTTTTCGGAGGGTGACCGGGGCCAGGCTTCCGTGAACACTGGGGGCACAAGTTTGCGCAATTCGAAGGGTTTAGGGTTTGGGGTTTAGGGTGTCGAGTTTCGGGTGTAGGGCTTAGAGCTTATAGAGTTTAGGGGCTTGTGCCAAGGCCATGGACGACTTCCTGGCTGCTGGCGATGCGCCAGTCTATGTGGGCTATGGCCTCTTGCTCCTTCAGATAAGCCCTGTAACACCCTGTAACCCTAAACCTTGTAAGCTTACACCCTAAACCCTGAACCCTACCTACACCATAAACCCTGAGGCTCGGGAGGGGGGGGGGTGGGGGAGGAGATGTTGGCAAGTCGATGCACGTAATGCAGGAGACATGCTTCCCAACATAGGGTTTAGGCTTTGGGGTTTATAGAGCTGTTCCCCTTACAGCCCCGACAACTTCTAAACTATTTAGAGGACTTAGGAGGCTTTAATATGTACGTGCAGTTATATTGTGGGGCTCAGAGTCCCCCGAACCTCCAAGCATAGCAGCGCCACGGATATTGGGAGCGAGCTGTGCTGAGGATCCATGACTTGCCATACTGGCAACTTGCTTGCACCAGCCGAAGAAGCCCTATAGCCCCCTGAGGTTTTATACACTTTTTTCTTTTTTAACCCACACATATCACAAGTCTTGTTTGTTTTTTGAAGGTTCGAAGAGGAGTACAGAGCTAGGAAGATCTCCTACATCTCGCCAAGCAGTGTACTCAGGGCTTCCAATCTACACACACCTGAATCCAATCTACCTCACACAGACCCTATACCCTAAATCCTAAATCCAGCGGGGAGGGGAAAGATATATATATATATATATTTATTTATTTATATTTAATTATTTGTTTATTTATTTATGTATTTATGTATTTATTTGTAAAATGATCTGTCCCTACACCTCTCTCCGTTTTCCAACTTCACTTGGTTAATGTGCGTGTCTGTGTGTGCAGTTCTATGTGCAGATCTGTATATTCCCCACACAGTATGCCAGAACTGAGGGGATCCTACGTGAAGGGTCGGCAGGAAGGGCACATCAAGGGTCGCGCAGCCTGGACCGCGCGTTTAGGGTTTAGGGTTTCGGGTTTAGGGTTTAGGGTTTAGGGTTTAGGGTTCACTTTGAAGCTTACTGGCAGCGCTCGATGCCCGGCCGCGCTCGGCCGTCCTCGAAACTGTCATGGCTTTCTGGCGTCCTTGTTCGCCGAATGCGACAAGGTCGTGGCTTTTGGATGTTTGGCCCTAAACTCTGGACCCTAAACCGCGCCAAATGCGAAACCTGTCGTCGCTTTTGGACGTGTGGGCTCTCGGTGTATTTTGCGTGTCCTCTTGGAGCATCGGCATGCGCTGACATGATGCACATATATATATATATATGTGGTACCCCCCCCCCAGTGACCTACCCTTTTTCGCCTTGTTTCAAGTCACCCAGCTGCACTGCAAGCAAACTCGGTGTGCAATATAGCGTATTTCCTAGGGCGTAGACTAAAATACAATTAAAATCGCATACACGGGACAGTAGAAAAACCAAAAAACCAAAACCAAAAAAACCAAAAAACCAAAACCAAAAAAAACCAAAAAAAACAAAAAAAACAAAACCAAAAAAACCAAAAAAACCAAAACCAAAAAAACCAAAAATACCAAAAAAACCAATTTTCCGGGACTCTCAGGAAATCCTATGAGGCTTCTCCAAGAGTCCCGGAAAATTGGTTTTTTTGGTATTTTTGGTTTTTTTTGTTTTGGTTTTTTTGGTTTTTTTGGTTTTGGTATTTTTGGTTTTTTGGTTTTGGTATTTTGGCTTTTTGGTTCGCCTTCACGGGCACGAGGCAACAACTACGCATTTTTAAGTGTGCTTATGCTAATTGTGCTTTTCAGAAATAGTATACAAGTGGTCTTTCTAGTGCTTCAGAACTATTTGTTTCGTTATTATGTAAATAGAGCCGCTAGTGTTTAGTGCATCTTTTGGTTGTACTCAAGTGTAGTAGACCTTATTCAGCCATTACTTGGTGCTCTGGTAGCTCAATTCGCATGGATAATATTTGCCTGGTAAATGCGATTAATTATCTAGAATCAGCATTTGCAATACTTGTCTTGAGAAAAAGCATTTATTGCTTAGAATTGTTTGCTTAAAAAGTGACTCCTACTCGTCCAGGAATAACCCAAAACCCTATAATCCAAACTTTACCAGAGATTCTCCTGAAAAGCTTGCGCTTTTGGATGTTTTTATGTATTTGTGAATTTGCTTGTGTATGGCCTTCACTAAGTACTTTTCTAGGATTCTTGTGCATTTTTAAAGCCTGATTGTGCAAGTTGCGTTTTTCAGGCATAGTATATATGTGGTCTTTATTGAATACTTCAGACATCTTTGTTTCATCGTTATGTAAGTAGAACCGCTTCTATTTCCATTATTGTGCATTTTTAAGCTTGCTCATGCAAATTGTGCTTTTCAGACATAGTATATAAGTGGTCTTTAGTGAATACTTCAGCAATCTTTGTCTCATTGTTATGTAGGTAGAACCGTTTCCATTTCCGCAAGTGTTTATTTCGTATTTGGTTAAGTATGGTCCTTTAAATAGTATTCACTTGAGTCAAATTGGGCTATTTGCTTAAGAATTCCTCTAATAGTTAAATTCGCATAGAATGAATACTTCAAAAAAATTGTTTCAAGAATATGTAAACATAAGGTGTTTCATTTGACTTTGCAGATAGTACTTCAAGAATACTTTGCCTGGTATAAACACAACTGTTTCAATGCAGTTGCTCAACAAAGCACTATTTGCCCTTTAAACCACACTTTGCCATATGTTGGTTGAATATGGTGCTTCTTTCGTATTTTGGTTGAGTATGGTCCTTTAAATGGTATTCACTTGAGTCACATTGGGCTATTTGCTTAATAATTACTCTAGTAGCTAAATTCGCATAAAATGCTTATTTCAAAAATAAAAACGATTCAATGAATATGTAAACATAAGGTATTTCAGTGGACTTTTCAGAGAGCATACTTTGCCTAGTACAAACACAATTGTATAAATACAGTATTTGCACTTTAAACGCACACTTTGCCATTTTTTGGTTGAGAATGGTGTTTATTTCGTATCTTGGTTGAGTATGCTCCTTTAAATAGTATTCACTTGAGTCAAATTGGGCTCTTTGCTTAATAATTGCTGTTGTTGCTAAATTCGCATAGAACCAAGAAAAATGTTTCACTATTTGGTTAATACTTTGCCTCGTACAAACACAACTGTATAAATAAATTAGTTGCTCAACAAAACATTAATTGCCCTTGAAACGCACAATTTGCATAGAAAAACACTGATCTAAACATCTAAAAACAGCATTGTCCGCTTCAGATTCAAAATGTAGATTCTTCCAATGCTGGCTTATCGGGGTCTGTGAGGTGGGTGTCCCAGTAACTGTCCTTACCTACCGACTTTTGGGCCTTCTTTGTTACTTTTTGTTAAAAAGGCCGAAAAAGGCCTAAAAAGGGTAGGTCGCTGGGGGGGGGGGGGGGGGTAGCATATATGTATATGTATATATATGTATGTATATATAAATAGTCATTTTTGGTTTGTAATTATTTCTTTATAGTTGTTAATGCTGATGTATGTACATGTATGTACATGTATGCACATGTATTTACATGTATGTACATGTATGTGTATGTACGTACATGTACGTACATGTACGTACATGTACGTACATGTACGTACATGTACGTACATGTACGTACATGTACGTACATGTACGTATATGTATGTATATGTAGGTCTTTGTTTTGCGGTTCAGACCCCAAGCGCCCGGGATCTGAGGGAAGTTCATGGCCCTGCTGAGCATCCGCGCGCTCAAGGCCACGGGCGAGCGGGCCATTGTGCTTGGCCCCCCTGACAGCACTCAGCCCGCTATGCCTCCAGGTATATCGATCTATTTATATACATATACATATACATATACATAAACATATACATATACATATACATATATATATATATATGTATACATATATATATGTATATATGTTTATATGTTTATATGTATATCTGTATATATGTATATGTGTATATCTGTGCATATGTATATATGTCTATATGCATATATGTATATATGTATACATGTATATATGTATATATGTAATGTATATATGTATATATGTATATATGTATATATGTATATACGTATATATGTATGTATGTATGTATGTACGTATGTATGTCTGTATGTCTGTATGTATGTTTGTATGTATGCATGTATGTATGTATGTATGTATGTATATTATTTATTCATGCATATGTGTATATCCATATATATATATATGTATATGTATATACATGTTATATGAACCCTAGTTAAACCCAGTGAACCCTACAAGTGGCCCGCGCCGTCAGGACCTCCCACAAGCAAGACCCTATCTGTGAATAAGTTCGCGTCCCAAAGTGCCATGAAAGAGCCGGAAGGGTATTCTGGGCATCCCTTCATGCCGTGCTGATCTCGCCGCAGTGCTAGACACATTCACATTCACGTTTTTCAGGGGTTCACTTCTGGCCTCAAAGTCCGTCCTCAACCTTCATACATGCCAAGTCTCCTGGCCTGAAGCAAAGAGTCCAAACCCGGATCTCCCGAACGCCACAACCTTCACGCTTTAAGGGTTTTGGGATATTTAGGGACTTGAGGGTTTCGGGATGTATGGTTTTAGAGTTTAAAGGTGTCCCTAAAACCTTACCAACCTCCCACCCCTCGCCCTCAAAGAAAAAAAGAAGAGAGAACACAAAACCAAAAACACGCAGCACGAAAAAATGAGGTGGCTGGTCCAAAATGTCTGCGGACTTCGAGGGCGAGGCGGATTGTGCTGAACTGGAGGCGGGCGCGGCACGGTTTCAGGGTTTAGGGTTTAGGGCTTGGGTTTAGGGTTTCAGTGTTTCAGCTCAAAGAGTCCCAGATGCAAAAAAGGGGGTTCAGGACGTTTAGGGTTTAGAGAGTGTAGGGTTTATAGGGTTTAGGGTTCATAGGGTTTAGGATTTTGAAGGGGGAGTTTAGACGTTTTCGGGTTCAGTCAAGTTTTCGGGCTCAGGGCCGAGCTTTTTTTCCAGGGGTTGCCTTTCAATCGCTTGCCGAGTAGTCTCCACCCGTTGTGCGTCTGCTTCCAGTTGGGTTTAGGGTTTAAGGTTTAGGGTTTGGGGTTTAGGGTTTATGTTCAGGGTAGCTACAGGAGTTGCATGATATTGTACAAAGAGAAGGCAAAGAGAACCCAATCACTAAGCTGCCCTACACTCAAAATGTCAACGAGACCTCAGCCTAAGCCCTTAAAGCTTGTGCCGGGTTCGCGGGCAAGAGATCCCCAGGGATTCCTGACAGGAAACACCCTCTTCCATCTCCTAAGAAAAGCCCGCAATGCCAGGCCTACTGCAAGGAGAAAGTGCTTTTCATGGACACAGCCCCCCACGGCATCCTTTTCCCACGGTGCAAAGTCATCGTCCACCATGGCCGGGGGGGGGGGGGGATACGTCTGGGACTAAACCCTAAACCCTAAACCCTAAGCCCTAAATTTTATATTTGCAGAGGGTCACTTTAGGGCAGCAGGGAGGGGTGGGGTTCTGTGTCAGGGAGTTTTTGTCGGTCGGGTCTGCCTTATGCTGGTTTTCGCTGCAGCCCAGCCACCGGCTTTCTTTGCCCCCTTCCTTGCACCCTTCAGGGTTTAGGGTTTAGGGTTTAGGGTTTAGGGTTTATGGTTTATGCTTTAGGGTTTAGGGTTTATGGTAGGGAACTCGATCCTAAACTTTAGGCATGTTGTCTCATCCGGCCCTGTCCTACCGAAGGTTCCAACGAAATTGGTACAGCCCGACGCCTCCCACAGGTCCTCCATTCTTGTGTGCCAACGTTCCGAGTGTTCCTAACCCCTGAAATCTGAACCCTGCTTGGGAAGGTCTGTTGACTTAGTAAGTCTATTTAGCATCCCCTAAACGCTCTATCTCTATCTCTATAGCCCACCTTACTTACCCTAAACTCTAAACCCGAAACCGATGTTCTGCAACAGCCAGGCAGGTGGCAAAAAAGAACATGAAACCCTAAACCCTACTTACTGAGTCAAACGGGCTCCCAAGCCAAGCAAGGCGGGGCTGGGACGTTCAACACCTCGGTCCTCAGCGGCGTGCCCACAGTGGTGGTGCCGATTTTCCTGGAGCTTCGACCGGGATGCCCTCAACCCTCAACCCTAAACCCTAAACCCTAAACCCTAAACCCCAAACCCTAAACCCTAAACCCTAGGCAGCGAGGGGAGATCCAGGGGCAGGAGGTAGCAGCTTTCGGGTTCCGGGGTTTAGGGTTAGGGGTTTAGGGTTTAGGGTTTAGGGTTTAGGGTTTAGGGGTGAAGAAGAAAAACAAGTTCTAAACCCTGAGCTTTCCAACAGCCCCATCTTTCACAAAGGCATCTCCCAGAATATGTAGGATTGACAGCTTGGTGTGCCCAGTCACTGGGCTGTTGTGTTTCCAGGCGCCTGGAGCGACCAGCAAAACACCGAGCTGATGCTCATGATCCTCATCGTCCATTGTGCCCAATCACTGGGGCATGTGCAAGTGTCTGGAGCTGAGGGCACCACGGTACTGAGTGCCGACCGTGCTCATGATGCTCGGTGGTCGCTGGCAACGCGATGGGACGGGCAGCGGCTGATGCTTGTGATGCTTGGCTTGGCGGCCGGCCACACCGTGGGACGGGCAGCGGCTGATGCTCATGATGTCCGGCGGCGGCCGGCCACACGGTGGCAAGGGCGGCGGCTGATGCTCATGATGCTCGGCGTCGGCCGGCCATCGCGTTGCCAGCGGCTGATGCTCATGATGCTTGGCGGCCGACGGCCAGGCAGGATGTTCGGCGGAGGCCGGCCACACGGTGGGACGGGCAGCGGCTAATGCTCATGATGCTCGGCGGCTGCCGGCCATGCGGTAAGACGGGCAGCGGCTGATGCTCATGATGTTCGGCGGCTGCCGGCCACACGGTGGGACAGGCAGCAGCTGATGCTCATGATGTTCGGCGGTGGCCCGCCACACAGTTGGGACGGGCAGCGCTTCGTGCACTGCGGCAGTCGTCTTTACACGCGCCTACGTGAGCAGCAAGTCATTCGCACGACCAGAACAGTACCGAGCTGATGCTAATGCAACCCCAATGTCCTGACCCCGCACTAAGCCTTAAACACCGACTCCTAAATCATTCTGAACGTGCCTAGGCCGAAAGTATGCAAAGAAATAGCTCATAACCCCAAAGAACGGACCATTATTCTGCATAATTTGGGGGGTTTGGGCAGGGTTGTGAGGGTTTTCAGGCTTACTTTCTCAGTTTCTTTGCATTTCTGGTTGTGGGATGTGCCCTAAACCCTAAACCCTAAACCCTAAACCCTAAACCCTAAACCCTAAACCCTAAACCCTAAACCCTAAACCCTAAACCGCAATGGGATGTGCCAAAAACAAACCCCGCCCGAGGACCAGTTCCAGCATTCCGACATGGTGAACGAAAAGGGCTTCGGAGTCGGCCTCAAGGCGGTGAACCCTGAAAACCCTTTATATATATATATATATCTACTCGCATATATAGAGGGTTTAGGGTTTACAGGTTGGGATGTTACCTCCCCCCCTATACTAGCAGTCCTGAATAGGGACTATAGTACCCCGCCCCCCCCATCATAATCCGATTTAAGGACTGTTGTTAAAAAGGGAGCATCCCAATCTATGGGATTTTTCGGGTTTGTGGGGTTTATATGCTTTATGCAGGGTTTTTTTACAGGACTTGTATAGGGTTTATATGGGGTTGTTATAGGGTTGAGGGTTTTATAGTTGTTTTATTCCCCCCCGACTTTGTGGATGCTTTTAGACATCAGTTGTCGATATGCAGGATGCTTGCATGCAATCACGCTCTGTTGTCTTTCTGTACGAAGAAGGTCCTGAAACATATTGAAACATGGGGGGTGTCAGAAAAGAGGGGACCCCTAATATGGACCCCCAAATAGTAGGATTCGCCGGATTTGGAAATCTCCACATGGACTCCCTAAACCCTAAACCCTAAACCCTAAACCCTAAACCCTAAACCCTAAACCCTAAACCCTAAACCCTAAACCCTAAACCCCTAAAACCCTAAAACCCTAAAACCCTAAAACCCTTAACCCTAAAGCCCTAAAGCCCTAAACCCTAAACCCTAAACTGCAAGGCTTATTTCGGTCGTAGACACGAGTGTTAGGTGTGAGAGTTTTGTTGAGAATTTCCGGGCAGGACATCATAGCCCGGATGCAGAAAAGAGTTCAGGGTCTTAAGCAGTAAACCTTGGGATGTTCCCCCTTATACTAGCGGTCCTTAAATGGGGGATACTATAATCTAAATCAAGGACGGTTAGTATCAGGGGGAACATCCCAACCTAAACCCTGTAAACCCCAGAACAACTAAACTCGAACAAGGATCACGGGGGCTCCCGTGAGCCCTTAGCTCAAAGGTCTGGTTTTGGCTTTAGAGCTTCGGGGTTTTAGGGTTTGGTTTTACGTTAGGGGCTTAGATTGGTTGCGAGGGCCTATAAGGGACAATTTTCCAATGCGCTGCGCGTTGGCGCACGCTTGCAACGGAATCATTTCTTGCGTTGGATGTGCAGCCCTAAACTCTGGACCCTAAACCCTAAACCCTAAACCCTAAACCCTAAACCCTAAACCCTAAACCCTAAACCCTAAACCCTAAACCCTAAACCCTAAACCCTAAACCCTAAACCCTGAGTTTATGAAGGTACAAAACCATCCCCAACCTGGCTTTGCGCGAGCTTATCTGAAGCCGGATTGTCTAGATCAGGGTCCCTTTTCTGTCCCCGAAAGAGTACGGCACCCTTATTACCAAAAAAAGGACCCCAATTTAGAGAACTACCCATATTTTCTGCGCTTTTCGAGAAGGGTAGCTATTGGGGTAACCAGATCGCTTCAGACATGATCTTTAGGGTTTGGGTGCTACAAAATCCGTTTTCCTTTTTGCCCGAACCCCGTACTTCCAGGACCCTGATATTTGTCCCAAGGACGGCAGTATTGGTTTCTGGAAGGATAGGGAAAGGCGAACCAGCAACTTCAACTCTAGAATCGCCAGCTTATGTGCTGGCAAAAAAGCCATGGAAACGACTTTGTCCACACAGTATCCTAAGACAAGGGTCCACCATGTGTTCGGGTCCGTTTCAAGAGTTTAGCGAATTAGAACAGGGTTTTGGGGCATAAGTCTATAGGAGCCATAAGGGAATACTAGTAGTAATCGTTCCGACCCCTGGACTTAGTCATAGTTGGGTATCATGTTACATGTTTAAGGGTACTTTAAAGCCCCAATAGGGAATATCAACTTAATTTTCAATACGATCCCAACCATAGACCCTAAACCCTAAACCCTAAACCCTAAACCCTATAAACTAAGTAGAGTTATGTCTCGTCACAGGCCATGGCCTCCGCCACTCCGGCCGAGCTGGCGGCTGCCATCCGCAAGTGCATTGACACACCGGAGATCCGTCGCGCGTCTTCCACTTCTTACTACCGGAGCTTAGGGTTTAGGGTTTGGGGTTTGGGGTTTGGGGTTTAGGGTTTAGGGTTTACCATTTGCTTAAGGACCCCCACCCCCAAAAAATAGAAATGTTCTTGCTTACAAGGGTACTGTAGGGATCATTATTTCGATGTTTCTTTTGGGGGAAATAGTTGTAGCTGGGGCCCGATATGATGTTAAAAACACAAACACCCAACATACCCATTCAAATCGCCTAGGCACCCACATAATCCTGTTGTTCAGATATTTCTTGGACTTCGGGCTTAGAATACAGATTGTGTGCAATCGCCTCTGACGCCCTTGATGTTATTGTTAACGTACACAAACCAAACAGATTAGGCGTACCTTTGTTTGTCAGAGGATTGCCTTTTTGGTTTACAGAAGCCCCAAAGGAACATTCGAACTAGTTGGATTTTTGGCTTTTTGGTTAATACGCTACTATTAGGCACTCCCCCAAGCTATTCTTTGCGTATCCAATGGTGCCATTGAGATTGCGTGGGGCAGCCTGAACGAGTTCCAAAACGATCTTCTCGTAACCCGAGTTTAATAGCAACTATCCAGGACACCATGTTTGTTAGTAGGCTCTAACTCCCACACGCTGAGCTGCTAAACCCTACCTTGACTTCCGTTGGGGGTACGAATTTATGGAAACTCTGACCCCTAAAGCCGAAAACCCTTAAACCCCTAACCCCCCTAAGCCCTTAAACCCTTAAACCCTTAAACCCCTAAACCCCTAAACCCTAAAACCCTAAAACCCTAACCCCTAAACCCTAAACCCTAAACCCTAAACCCCGCAAAACCCCTAAACCCTAAACCCCCCAAACCCCTAAACCCTCTCAAATCCAGGTCAGAAGGCTGCGGCCATGGCCGAAGGCATGGCCAAGGACCCTTGGAATGCCAGCAGTTTAGGGTTTAGGGTTTATTGTTTAGGGTTTGGGGTGCAGCTGCTGAGTCGATCCCTTCTCTGATCCCCCCCCATCCCGCCCACAATATTGGGGGGTTTAGGGGTTTTAGGGTTTAGGGTTTAGGGTTTTAGGGTTTAGGGTTTAGGGTTTAGGGTCTATGACCTGCCTGTTTGCTGAGATCCCGTGTCGTTTCGCCACGTACCAAATATGCCACATGCCCTGCGAGGCAGAAAGAAACCTGAACCCTAAACCCTAAAGCCTAAACCCTAAACCCTAAACCCTAGCATCGTAACGTCCAAGGGCCCTTGGCCACAACGGTACGAGGGTCGCTCCGGGCTTCGCGCGGTCCTGAGTGCCCAAGGCCCCCAAGTGAGAAACCACCGTAATTCAGCCCGGTAGGGTTTAGGGTTTAGGGTTTAGGGTTTAGGGTTTAGGGCTTAGGGTTTAGGGTTTAGGGTTTAGGGTTTAGGGTTTAGGGCTTAGGGTTTAGGGTTTAGGGTTTAGGAAGCTTACACCGATTGACACGTCCGAGTCTGATTCCCGAACTCGCTTAGAAGCCTGAATGATCTCGACCCGCAGCCCCTCCAACGCAGGGTTTAGGCTTCAAGTGCCTAGAGCGATGGGAGGCGAGGACCCAGAGTAGGCCCTTATTCCCTTTGCTTAAGGCTTTCGGTTCCCTTGTAAGCCCCTTTTGAACCAAAAAGGGCACCCTTTTTATTCCTAGGCTACTCTTGGGTCTAGTAGGAGAATGGCGCTGCGGCCTTCGTGCAGCAGATCAATCGCTTCATGGAGGAATACGTGGACACAGGCCAGGGCTTTCCGTGTTGAGGAAGCCAGGTTGGGCTTAGGGTTTCGGGTTTTGGGCTTTAGGTTTAGGGTTTAGGGTTTAGGGTTTAGGAGGTTCATGGGTGCTTATAACCCCAATCATAACCGTACTTATTGAGCGCCCTAAGTCCTCCAAGCAAGATATAGGTAGATTTATAGCTGGGGTTATAGATACCCATGAACCTCCAAATAGAACCTGAACAAGTTTCGATGCCCTATGGGGTATTATGCTACCTTCTTGCGAAGCCACTTTCAAGCAGGCTCCAGGGCTTCTAGGTGCTAGCTTGGTCTTGTTGCACATACCCCTGCAGTTGCTCTCGAAGCCCTGGCATGCGCCTACACTACATCTGGTGGCCGTTGTCCTCCCCATCAGGAAACACGAAACCTCTTGCCCAAGTACCCTAAAACCCGAATCCCCAAGTCCGAATTCCACCCAAACCCTAAACCCCAAGCCCTATACAACACGCCCCTAAACTCCGGCTTCCGCCTCGTCGCCACCCTAAACCCTAAACCCTAAACCCTCAACCCCAAACCCCAAACCCCAAACCCTAAACCCTAAACCCTAAACCCTAACTCTGCGGCTCCGCAGGGCGCTACCTGAAGGAGCGCGCCGAGCTCCGCGCGGAGATCAAGGCCAAGAGCTGGAGAAACCAGGCTGCGGCCCGAGGAAGCTTCAGAGGAATGCGACAAAAAACTACCAATCATTAATATTAATCATCATTGTTGTTGTTATTATTATTGTTTGAATTATTCTTATTATATTTATTATTATTATTAATAATATTATCATTATTGTTGTTATTATGATTTGTTGGGTTTTTATGCTTTTGATAAAGATGGTCATTATTAGTATTATTACTATTGTTATTGTTAATGTAGAACTGTAGAAGTATATATCTATATACTAAGAATAGTATGTATATATATATATAGATGTATGTATGTATCGGCAGCTTCTACAACATGTCTGTCCCGATACTGGCGCACCCTAAACCCTAAACCCTAAACCCTAAACCCTAAACCCTGAACCCTGAACCCTGAACCCTGAACCCTGAACCCTGAACCCTGAACCCTGAACCCTGAACCCTGAACCCTGAACCCTGAACCCTGAACCTAAGCACGGTAGGTTCCCTTATGAGCATGGAGTCCCCGGCTAAGGGATTCTTGACTCCAATGGTCCATCCCTTAAAAGGGCCTAGGTTTAGGGCTTCGGGTTCAGGGCTTAGGGTTTAGGGTTTAGGGTTTAGGGAATAGGCCAGAGCCCAGGCAGCCCTTCAATACCCTTTTGGTTGCATCTTCGACTATGTAGGGTCCGAATGATGAGTTGAGGTATCTCATCTTGGACCTTGGGATATTTACCTGAAGGCTCCAATGTAGTTCCTTTTTGGGTGAGTTATGGGGGGTTCTGGTATACTAGCCCCCCCAAAAGGTACTACATAGGAGCCTTCGGGTACTGTCTAGATTCGGAGCATTTTGAGGAATCTGACGTTGCAGGTGAGAGCTTGGATTCTTGTCGCTTCTTTTCCTTTTATGTCTGGATTGCACCCGTTTCCTATTTCAGACAAGTCCACGGCGCGTCAAGATTTGCTGCGAGTACCATGGTGCGGAGACGTTGCAAATAGACGTCAGAAGCCTGACTGGTCCCGACGCAGAGTGCAACCCGCAAGGGTCCATGAATCTGGACTACTTGGACCGGCAAGGGGTTCCTATATATATATATATGCATATATATATATATACACATGTGTTTCTATATATGGTACTCCCCACTGTGGAGCCTACCTCCCCATGTATATATATATATATATATATATATATATTATATAACATTTTATATAGATACATACAAAGAATATATGCACATAGATGTATATAAATATCTGTATGTATGTATGTATGTAGGTATGTATGTATGTCTGTTTTATGGCCCAAGTACATTTGCTAACGTTAAGCCAGCAGAGTACAGACAGACATTCAGCCGCTTACCCACACCGCAGAAAACGTGTTCTACAACTTCTTTGTAGGAACTGAACTAAAACTAAGCCCTAATCTAAACAGTGTTAGCTTGAAGAAACTTAATTTCACGTCACGCATAGTGGAACAATATAGTGTCCATGCTCTAGGCCCTTACACGGCAACATATACAGGGTACGCTCCGTAACACGAACCCAGCGAACCCTAAACCATGAACCCCAAACCCCAAACCCCAAACCCCAAACCCTAAACCCTAAACCCTAAACCCCTCCCGATTTTTTCCCTTGGGGCAGGCTTTGAAGCTCCTCGCGCGCTGCTGCCCTTGTGCCCAGGGCAAGTCTAACTTTACGGGCTTGGTGGGTTTGGGTTTCAGTCTTGGGGGTGTAGCCTTTAGGGCCTCAACTCTTCGGGTTTAGGGCTTAGGGTTTAGGGTTTAGGGTTTGGGGATGTTCCCCCTTATACTAACCGTCCTTAAGGGTTAACATCCTAAGGTTTGGGTTTTGAGGTTTAGGGTTCAGCGAACAAAGGGCTTAGGGGGTTTTGGGGTCTGGGCGATAAGGGTTTAGAGCTGCTTAGGGTTTGGGCAAGCAGTTTCAGGGTTTGGGGGGCTTTTCGGGTTTGGGCAAAAAAGGGTCTAGGGTTGGATGCATGTCGGGAGGGGGGGGGGGGGGGGGGGAGGGCACAAGGCGGGGTGAACCGAAAAGGGCGGGAATCTCAGAGCAGCTCTCTAATTTATTTTCGTTGTTTGAAGTCGTTGAACTACTATCATCATACGGAGCCTTGTATTCAGGGCGCCCCACAAGGAACCACCTTTTCGCTAAAACCTCAACTGCATTTGAAGTCTTGGCTGCTGCACTAGGGAGGCTCTCCTGAAACAGGGCATTTCCCAAAAAGGGGGTACCCCTTTTATACCCTCAAATGGAATAGAATCCCCTTTCAAAGGGACCCCCCTAAAAGGATACCCCTATTTTCGGATACCACCCAAATGTTTGACCTTCGGGCCCAAGGGTTTAGGGTTTAGGGTTTAGGGTTTAGGGTTTAGGGTTTAGGGTCTAGGGTCTAGGGTTTAGGGTTTAGGGTTTAGGGTTTAGGGTTTAGGGTTTAGGGTGACCCTGGCGACTTCGCTGCCCTGCACTGCCTAAAGCCGGCTGAAAGCCTCAAAGCCCGAGAGCTGCGGAGGATCCTAAACTACGTGGCCATGGCAGGGTTTAGGGTTCAGGGTTTAGGGTTTAGGGTCTAGGGCTGCCTCGCAAATAGCACAGCGCCTTAGTCTGTGAACTTAATTTAAGGTCCTGAACCAAGATCTACCTGGCCAGGTGGCGAGACGGAGCAGAGCCGGTAGCCCTCCAGAGCTTCCCTCGAACTTGAGGGGCAGGAGGTTGATTGTTCTTCGGGATTATTTTCGAGTTCTCTTTGTCCGCTCTAAGCGAACCCATTCATATAAGGTCATTCCTTTTCTTTACACAGCGGCCTGTGACCGAAAGAGGTCATAGCGAGCCACAAGGGATGCCAAGTCTGGAGCGACAGGGTTTAGGGCTTAGGGCTTAGGGTTTAGGGCTTAGGGCTTAGGGCTTAGGGCTTAGGGCTTGGGGGAGTTGATCTCCATTCTTGGGCCCCTGGCGTGTTTTCCAATGAGGACCGAGGCTGCGAAGGCAGCTCGGGACCCCAGGTCCGGGTTAGTAGCGGTGTTGCGACTTTCAAGGGGCGAGAGGACGGAGTCTAGGGTTTAGGGTTTAGGGTTTAGGGTTTAGGGTTTAGGGTTTAGGGTTTAGGGTTTAGGGTTTAGGGTTTAGGGTTTAGGGTTTAGGGTTTAGGGTTTAGGGTTTAGGGTTTAGGGTTTCCCAGCTGACTTCAGGAGTCAGGGTCCAGAAAAAGGGTTTAGGGTTTAGGGCTAAAGGAGGGACCTTTCGAAGGGACCTTAGGGGTCATTTTTGGGGGGGTTATTTAGGGGTTGCTTAGGTATATAGGGACTATATATGGTATGTATAGGGGTTATATAGGGAAGGTTAAGGGTCCCTTCTGGGGGTCCCTCCTTATACCCCTTAAGACTTCACGTTATAGGGTGACTTCAAAGGGAATCCTGACCAGGGAACCCTAAGAAGTATGGTACGGAATAGGGTTTAGGGTTTAGGGTTCAGGGTTTAGGGTTCCTACCAGGGTCCTTATGTTCCCCTGGCATTCCTACCATACTCCTGGGGTTCCCCCCGCGTGGGGTTCCGGTTGAAACGAACAACCTAAACCCGAAACCTTCAACCCTGAACCCTAAACCCTAAACCCCTAATCCCCTAATCCCCTAATCCCCTAATCCCCTAAACCCTAAAGTAAGCCCTAAGCCCTAAACCCTCAAGCCTTCATAGCGCATGCTGGGGGCAACTCTAGGTCACTAGGTGCCTGGGCGGCTTAGGGTTTAGGGCTTAGGGTCTAGGGTTTAGGGTTTAGGGCTTAGGGCTTAGGGTTTAGGGTTTAGGGTTGAGGGACACTGTGGTTTTCCCTTATTGGGTTTAAGAGCCTCATATTTCGGAATATGTTCAGCCCTAGCTTTGAGACACTTGGAGTGATACTTAGGGTCTAGGCTTTAGGGGTTTAGGGGTTTAGGGGCTAGGGTGTAGGCTTTAGGGGTTTAGGGCTTAGCAAGAAGGGTGTAGAGGACTTGTTGTTGACCAAGACGGCTGTTGCGCACCTGCACTTGCCCGGGGCCATGGCAGGAAAGAGGGCGCTAGCTGTGAGCTCCCACACTCAAAAGAGTCCGCGGGACGTCGCGCAATCAGGTCCCAGAGCGGCTTTCTGCGAGCGGAGACAAAGAGGTTTGAGAACTCAGAGGTTCTTCTCCTTTGTTTTCGCAGACAGAATGTAGATAATGTATACCGCGCAGTGTATCTTTATTTTGTTGATGAAAAATACTTTATACTTGTGCACACGCTGTATCGTATACATTACGTTGAACCTCAAGATGACCTGGCTGAGTTTCAGGGGTCCCACTTTAGATCTTAGGGCATTTAGACAATGACCTAACGGTGTGTAAGGGTGGGACTCCTCTTTTTTTTTCAAGTTAGGGCTTGGGTCTTGAAAAGGGTTCGCAGCTCAAGCAAAAATCGACGGCTGCGAGGACGTCTTCGGGGGAGATGCCGACAAGTTGCTGAAGTACATGAAGGCCTGCGAAGCCCTTAACCCGACACCCTAAGCCTGGACCCTAAACCCTAAACCCTAACCCCTAACCCCTAACCCCTAAACCCTAAACCCTAAACCCTAAACCCTCAACCCTCAACCCTCAACCCTCAACCCTCAACCCTCAACCCTCAACCCTAAACCCTAAACCCTAAACCCTAGACCCTAGACCCTAAACCCTAAACCCTAAACCCTAAACCCTAAACCCTAAACCCAGCCTTCTAAGGCGGGTTCTGGGCGTCCACAAGAGTATCTGCAAGTAATCATGGTAAGTATATGGTCTAGAGCACGGACTGCTTCTGAGCCCACAGCCAAAGTTACCTGAAGGCTCCAATGTAGTTCCTGGGTTTAGGGTCTAGGGTCTAGGGTTTAGGGTTTAGGGTTTAGGGGGGGAGGGGGGGTCCTAGAAGAAAAGGTACTACATTGGGAGCCTTTGGGTACCCGAAGGGTCCATGTAGCCAGATAGTACCTGGGCCTTACAGGGGTTAAGCATATAGTAGCTTCAGGGCCCCCTGTGTATGCTATACAGGAACATGGACTCTTAGCGGCATAGAGGAGACTTCAGAGACTTGACTGCAGCTCCTTTTTTGGGTTAGCTACTTGTAAGTTGTAGGGGCACCGTAGCGTACAACACCAAAGAAGGTACTACATCAGGGGCCTTTAGGGAACCCTAAACGCTAAGCCCTAAACCCTAAACCGCAAACCCTGAACCCTATAAGCCCTAAACCCGAACCCGAACCCTAAACCCTAAACCCTAAACCCTAAACCCTAAACCCTAAACCCTAAACGCCAAAGACTTCAGAGACTTGACCGGGGGCACGAACACGCCAGGTCCGCGCCATGCGCGATCACCCTTCAGAGCGCAGCGTGCTTGGCATCCGAGACGTTGCTCGCTGGCAGGTTAGGGTTTGTTAGGGTTTAGGGTTTAGGGTTTAGGGTTTAGGGTTTAGGGTTTAGGGTTTAGGGTTTAGGGTTTAGGGTTTAGGGTTTAGAGTTTAGGGTTTAGGGTTTAGGGTTTAGGGTTTAGGGTTTGCGGTTTAGGGTTTAGGGTTTAGGGTATAGGGTTTAGGGTTTAGGGTTTAGGGTTCAGAGTCTGGGTTCAAAAAAGGGTTTAGGGTTCAAAAGGGTTTAGGGTTTATCTTACGCAAAACAGTGGCGCCCTTTTACCTCTTAGGAAACTGGGCAACCTGGAGCCCACTAAAGTCCCCAACCCGTACAGTCCCAAATAAGCCGTAAACCCCTTCCAACTCGTACAGACCCTAAACCCTAAACCCTAAACCCTAAACCCTAAACCCGAAACCCTAAACCCTAGACCCTAAATTAGGGGTGGGAGGAAGCATATAAACCGCATCAGTGGCGGGCGCGCCCGGGGAGCCCGCTGCACCCCAAATCAGAAATCGCGTTGCATTGTAATAGGGGTTTGGCTCGTTAGGGCTTGGGATATGAATCGAGGTAACCCTAAACCCTGAGAACTCAAAGTTAATTGGACATTCCTTCAAACAATGGATATTTAGCTTCCTGTCGAACCCCTAAGCCCGCGACACTTGCAGCTCTACTCTAAACCCTCGACCCTAAACCCTAAACCCTCAACCCTGTCAACCCTCAACCCTAAACCCTAAACCCTACACTCTCCGGCTTTAAGGTTCTGGAGGTCCCGAAGCCACTTTAGTTGACGGTGAAGTTGCGCTCGTAGCTGAAGAGTTGTGTCCTTATTGGGGGATTGTAGGGTTTCGCCTTTCTGGAGTGCTACAAGAGGGTGACATAATCCTTCTCTCCCCTAGAAGGTCGCAGCTAGCCCAGGGTTGATAAGACCTTCTCAGCCTTTAAGCAGGGGGTGCCGGGGGGGGGTTATGGTTATGGGGCAACCTGGGTTGGACCCAAATTTCCCGACGCTCAGGACATCAGCGTGGGCGGGCCGCCCGCGGAGTCGGGTTTGCAGGTGAAGCACGTCGCAGGGCAAGCCGTGGAGCCGCGCTTGCCGGCGAAGCACATCGGCCCGCCCATCACTGGGCCACCCGTAGAATAAGTGAGCGAGCGGTGTGTGTTCCCCTGAAGTTCTGAACGCTCCAATGCAGGTGCCTTTTTGGGGGTTTGGTTCTAGAGGGGATAATAGTCTGCTGCCCCAGAGAGGTGCTGCTTGGGATGTTCCCCCTAATACTAGCAGTCCTTAAAGGGGATTATAATTAGGGGTACAAAAATCCCTATTAAGGACTGTTGGCATAAGGGGGAACATCGAAAGGTGCTGCGTAAGAGCCTGTAGGTAGACCCTGAGACGCAGGGAAGCATGCTGCAGTCTCCTGGTCAGGGCATATCTTATTGGCCCGAGATGCCCCAAGAGATGCTGCCAGACGGAGTTTAGGGTTCAGGGCTCACCTGGGACCCTCTTTGCCTGGGTTGTACCGGCTATTTAGAAGGGTAGCTACTGCTAAATTCACCTGGGACCCTCTTTACCTGCAGTTTTATGAGCTCCACCTGCTATATTTACTTACTGTCTCAAAACCCAACTTTTCAACTTTTGGGCTTCTTATAAGGTAGTTTCTCCTGAAAGTTTCAACTTATATTTCCTTGGGTTTTGGGCCAGTAAGTTTAAGGGTAGGTACTACTAAACTGTAGGGTTTAGGGTTTAGGGTTTAGGGTTTAGGGTTTAGGGTTTAGGGTTTAGGGTTTAGGGTTTAGGGTTTAGGGTTTAGGGTTTAGGGGGATGAGTCCCAGGCAGAGGTAGAAAGGAAGGCGAAGCCATTGGCTCGAAGCATCGGTTGCCAGGAAAAGATGCCCCGGGTTTGGGGTTTAGAAGGGTTTAGTAGGGTTTTTGTAGGGTTTGGTAGGGTTTTTGTAGGGTTTTGTAGGGCTTGGTGGGGTTTAGCAGGGTTTTGTAGGGTTTGGTGGGGTTTTGTAGGGTTTGGTGGGGTTTTGTAGGGTTCAGTAGGGTTTGGTGGGGTTTTGTAGGGTTTAGTAGGGTTTAGTGGGGTTTAGTAGGGTTTAGTAGAGTTTGGTGGGGTTTAGTAGGGTTTAGTAGGGTTTAGTAGGGTTGTGTAGTGTTTGGTGGGGTTTAGTAGGGTTTAAGTGGGGTTTAGGGTTTAGGGTGTAAAAGGAGGGACCCCTAGAAGGGACCCTTAATCTTATTCCCCAATTAACTCCTATAGTTATACCTAAGTAGCGTAGCCCCTATATGCCTACGTAGCCCCCAAAGTAGTCCCTTGAGAAGCCTTGCACAGTGTTTCTGGGCCTTTGGCACCGCACGTATCAATATAGCATTATGTCATTTTTCGTTAAATCATTATACTACTTGTTATGGTTGTATTGTATATGTTTGTATTCTTGTATTGTGATGCTACTATATTTGTTGCGCGAGAGCTTCGAGCATACATTTTAGACAATATCAGACTAATATACTAATGTACTAATACCCGAATATGCTAGTATACGAATATACTATTATACAAACATGCCAATATACTGACATACTAATATACTTATATACTAATGTACGAATACACGACTAGACAAATAACATACTCCTAGTTGTCCAGTACCACAAGGAGCTAAAGGTTAAACTTTGGGATTATATAGGGACTCAAATACCCCAAAAAGGTTAAAGGTTACCTACTCTGTTTAGGGTTTAGGGTTTAGGGTACAGTATTTAGGGTTTAGGGTTTAGGGTTTAGGGTTTAGGGGTTGTCCCCAGATCATGGCCTGTGTGCTGCGTTTTTTGCGGACGTTCGACTCCACCTGCGGCTCAAGGCAACTGCAAGGTGAGGTGTGTACTACATTCTTGTACTCTAGGACCGGGAGTAGGCCCTTTTTTCCTTTCTCTAGGGTTGGGGTTCCCTTATCATCCCCTTAAAACCCAAAAGGGTGCCCTTTTTATATTCCTAGGTTACTCCCGGGTCTAGTACTGTGGTATGGGCCACATTCTTCTATGATCATGTGATTAGATGTCATTTTACAGCCCAGCTGCACGCTGGCCCCCTTTTTAGGGCCAAGCCAGGGATGCCCCGAAACCCTAAACCCTAAACCCTAAACCCTAAACCCCCCTGATACCCCAGGCTCGAGTCCACTCCGCCTCCTTTCAGCCAACCCGAAGCCTGTATCGCTTAGGGTTTAGCGTTTAGGGTTTCGGGTTTAGGGTTTGGGGTTTAGGGTTTAGGGTTTAGGGTTTAGGGGGTATCCCGAGCCCTCCTTCAACTCCCCATGGACACACTCCTGGAGCAAAGTACCGGGCCGGGGCCCATTTTCACGGCCGTGCCGGTGGGCTTGGAGCAGCAAGGCCAGGAATCCTTGTGAGCTTGGGGTTTAGGGTTTAGGGTTTAGGGTTCAGGGTTTAGGGTTTAGGGTTTAGGGTGCCTTGTTTCAGTTTCAGGGGGCTTATACGGGAACCCAAACCCGAAGAAAAGTGGAAGGAGAAAGGCTAACTCTGGGTTCTAGTAAAGGATCCACATGTAGTACCTTTTCTGCTATTTGCTTAAGAACCACTCCCCAAAAACCAGTTTTCCTTACAAAGGGCAATATAAGGATTGTTATCTTGTGTTTTGGCGTGGGGACCATTATTCTTATTCTTTGGAACTCTTTCAGTCCCTTGGTTTTTGCGTTACTCTTCTTCGGGGGCCTCCAACTACTTGGGCTTTTTTTGGTGTTCGCCTCAAGACTGGGAACTGCAGAGCTGAAAAGTTCCTCTTGTGGAGTTTGGATTGGCATTCTTTGGTTCAAAAAGGCATGTTTTTTGGTGAATTTGGGACCTTTTTTTTCGGGGGGGGGGGGGGGGGGGGTGTTGTTTTACTTGGAAGCAAGAACCCCGTGTAAGCTCCTTAAAAGCGAGAAACGCTAAAACCCTAAAACCCTAAAAACCTCAAACCCTCAAACCCTCAAACCCTCAAACCCCCAAACCCTAAAACCGTAAAACCCTAAAACCGTAAAACCGTAAAACCCTGAAACCCTAAAACCCTAAAACCCTAAAACCCTAAAATCCTAAAACCCTAAAACCCTAAAACCCTAAAACCCTAAAACCCTAAAACCCTAAAACCCAAAAACCCTAAAACCCTAAAACCCTAAAACCCTAAACCCTAAAACCCCAAAACCCTAAAACCCTAAAACCCTAAAACCCAAAAACCCTAAAACCCTAAAACTCTAAACCCCTAAACCCCTAAACCCCTAAACCCCTAAACCCCTAAAACCCTAAAACCCTAAAACCCTAAAACCCTACAACCCTACAAGCCTACAACCCTAAACCCTAAACCCTAAACCCCAAACCCCCAAGCGAGAGAGGCTTGAAGAGCGGGCAGCGGCGCCTCTCCCATCTTTCGGCGGCCTCGGGCAGTGTGCTGGCTGCGTTTCACGGTGGCGAGGCCCGCCCGGGCCGTGCTTTTGACATTTTTCAGGGTTTAGGGTTTAGGGTTTAGGGCTTAGGGTTTAGGGTTTAGGGTTAGGGTTTCAGGGAGTTTGAGGTCCGGGGTTCGGGATTCGGAGCAAAAAGGGGGTGCTGTACTTGCTGTACTAGCTGTAGGGTTCTCGTTGTCTTGGTGTACGTGAAGAGCTGAGAAGTCGGGTTTAGGGTTTAGGGTTTAGGGCTTAGGGTTTAGGGTTTAGGGTTAGCTTGGCGACTTTGGGGGTTGGCTGTTGCCAGGTTGCTCGGTGGTATCCGGACGAAGATGAGTTTGCTCTCATCGACTTCGGCCGAGACAGGATCGGTGACTTGGTAGCCCAGTGGTACCTGGGGTTTAGGGTTTAGGGTTTAGGGTTTAGGGTTTAGGGTTTAGGGTTTAGGGTTTAGGGTTTAGGGTTTAGGGTTTAGGGTTTAGGGTTTAGGGTTTAGGGTTTAGTTCCCTTATAGAGTAGCCACCCCAAAAGAAGGGTGCCCTTATCATACTATGGCTACTGGGCTACTAAGGTGATGTCAGCCGCCTGTTGCTGGACCCCACTGGCTTTCACGCCTTGCTGACAAACAGCGGTGGGGAGACGTGGTACCTGAATTTCCAAAGCAACTTGGTAGCTGAACGGGTACACTTTATGCTGCTTCGGGATACTTACAATCCTTTATAGAACTTAAAAGTGCACACTTTTTTTTCTTTTTTTTTGGGGGGGGGGGGGCTTCTGAACCCTAAACCCTAAACTCTAAACCCTAAACCCTAAACCCTAAACCCTAAACCCTAAACCCTAAACCCTAAACCCTAAACCCTAAACCCTAAACCCTAAACCCTAAACCCGCAGCTGAGGTAACCAGGCCAAGCCCCTGCCGAAGCTGAAGGGCCACGTCTTGGAGGCCGCAGCCTGGGATCCGGAGGCGACGACGACCAGCACCAGAGACCTCCTCCTCGGGACTCTCTTGTAGGGTTTAGGGTTTAGGGTTTAGGGTTTAGGGTTTAGGGTTTAGGGTTTAGGGTTTAGGGTTTAGGGTTTAGGGTTTAGGGTTTAGGGTTTAGGGTTTAGGAGTCTTGGGTACTTTAATTCCTCAGAAACAGCAAAAAGATTGGGCACTTTTGATTCCTAGGAAACAGCAGAAGTTGCAATTGTTGCTAGGGTTCCAGGTTCAGTGTAGGACTCGGGCGGCACAGATCTTGCACGTGGTCATTGAGGGAAAGGAGCGGACGGTGAAGTCGGTGTTCGAGTTCGAGCGGCCTGCCCCAGTTGTGGGTGTCCATTGTGAGCGGGTCTTCTCATCTGCAGATGGACTGGAGCGGCTACTGCTCTTTGCCGTGTGCGGTTGCCGCCTCTTAGTAGCTGAGTGAGTACACTTTACACTGTTGGGGTACGAGAATCCCTTATAGAACTGAAAGTGTACACTTGGGGCCTATGAGCTCAGCAACTAAGGCCTTTATGCCTTCATTGGCACATCCCTGGAAACCTTGTTTCAACGGCAAGGTGAAGCTTCGAGAGCCGTTTTCGAAGTGCCCCGGGAGTCGCCGTATGGAGATCCTTAGTAGAAGAGTTGTCGGGTTTAGGGTTTGGGGTTTAGGGTTTAGGGTTTAGGGTTTAGGGTTTAGGGAAACCTTTAACCTTGTTGGGGCAACAGATAATCCCCTGTAGAATCCGAAAGGTGAACCTACTCAGTTCCCCCAAAAGAGAATGGGCAACGAAGGATCTACAGGTGGACGATGCTTGCGTGGGCCCTCCGGGCACGAAAGTCCTTTTTTGGATGACCGGCGTCGGGGTTCTTGCTGCAAAGATCCAGCCAACCATCGATGAGGAGGCAAGCGTCGGCTCAGTGTTGGCATCTTACTTCGTAGCTGAGTCAGTACACTTTACACTTTTTGGGGTACTCTAACCTCTACAAAACTAAAGGAAGTGCACAGGGGGGGGGGGGGGGGGGGGGGGGGGCCTTATGAACTCAGCAACAAAGGAATCTCCACCTGGGTTGATTGCATTCCCTGCTGCCAACAAGATCGCGCCGCGCGCCGATGCGGGAAGCCTGGTGGCCTCGCTCCTTCCAGCTCCGCCAGCAGCACCGCGCTCAATGGCCCTAACGAAGCTTGGTAGCCCAGTGCTACCCTTTTCCCCTTTTTTTGGTTCAAGGTTCGCTACCCCATAAACCCTAAACCCTAAACCCTAAACCCTAAACCCTAAACCCTAAACCCTAAACCCTAAACCCTAAACCCTAAACCCTAAACATGATATGGTTGCTGGGCTAAGAAGGAAGTACCACATCCTCTTTGCCTTCGAAGATCGGTGGGTGGCCGTCAGCCGGATCACTCACGAAGTGGTTCAGCAGCAAGCCTCTTGGATGTGAAGCAGGGTTTATATTACTGTAATTGGTGAGTGTATTTAAGGCTCCCTTTTATTTTTGGTGAGTGTATGTACCTGGTGTCCTTTTGGGGGTATAAGAAATATATACCCTACCTCATGTCACAAATGGCTAGGTTCATCGTTCTGGCCCATGAGGCTTGATCACCTTCCGGTAAAGGCAGAGCATAGAGAACACTACCTTAGTAGTAGAGTAGGTAGCCTTCAACCTTTTCGGGGTATTCGAGTCCCTATATAGTCCCAAAGGTTAACCTTTGGCTCCTCATGGTACTGGACAACTAGGCTACACCGCAACGACTTTGCAAAAGTGCCACAGAAAGGTCTCCAGAACCCAAGCGGAAGTGTAAAGAACACCCAGAAAGAGCATCTAGAATTGAGGGGGTTTAGGGTTTAGGGTTTAGGGTTTAGGGTTTTAGGGTTTTAGGGTTGAGGGTTGAGGGTTGAGGGTTGAGGGTTGAGGGCTCTTCTGCCAAGGACTGGGCCATGTCAACGTATGGACCGCTCAGAAGCCTTGCTAGGGACCAGCATGGCGAGAGGCTCTGGATCTGTTCCGAGCGGCATGCTTCTTGGTAGCCCACTTAGGGTTTAGGGATTTAGGGTTTAGGGTTTAGAGTTTAGGGTTTAGGGTTTAGGGTTAGTGTTACCTTGTGATGTGCCCCCTAATACTAACAGCCCTTAATAGGGATTCTCGTACCCCCCGTTATAATCATCCCAAAGTGTTACCCTCTTCCCTTTCGTTTTTGGTTCAAAATCCCCTTATTAAGTAACCAACCCCAAAACGGGTACCCTTACCCTAAACCCTAGCCCTAAACCCTAAACCCTAAGTGGCCGCTGGGCTACCTAGGCTTTCGAGCTGCTCATTGAAAAGGAGGACAGAAGCTCCGTCATGCTCAGCAACCTTTTATTGCGGGGATCGGCAGAGCCCTCTCTCTCTCTCTCTCTCTCTCTCTCTTTTTGGTTTGAGATATGGGCAGGCTTTTACATTTTGGGATCCCTTTTTAAAGGGTGCCGCCTTACAACGGGTACCCAAAAGGGACGCTAATTGAGGAAATTGCGTGTCCAGCTGTTGTTAAGTCTTGACGAGTCATGTGAGCGGCCCAGGAAATGTGTGGGCATTGCTTTTGAGGCTTCAGCAATTCGACGATGCCTTGGGGGCTTGCAAGAAGCAATCTCATCGGATGCGGGTCCTTGCAGCCCATGCAGATTGGCTGTTCCGAGAAGGGGAGAGCATCCAAGCAGCCAGGAAGTTTGCTGAAGCCACTGCTGTTCCCTTTGAACATGTGGCCCTGCGATTCCTTGGTGCAGGTATGATGGCAGGGCTTGTGGAGTATCTCCGCTGTCGACTCAAGCGCGCAGACGACCAGGTCACGCGGGCGTTGCTGTATGTTTGGGCTGTGGAGATTTCCCTTGCAAGTCTCAACGCCGCGGGCTTCACGGGCAATTCCGAGCCCAGGGGTGAAGAGCGGCATATACTGCTGGACCTCCTGAAAGAGAGCCGTGACCTAGATGTCCATGCGACCATTTACCACCTTTTGCAAAGCCACGGCTGGTTAGATGAGCTGGCCCAGTTTGCCGAAATGAGGCGGGATTTCACGACAGTGATCCTGCATCACGTCAGCCGACGAGACTGCGGCAACGCCATCCAGAAGCTCGCGGACTTCAAGGGCTCTAGTGCTTCAGAGCTGGCGTGTCGCTTTGCTCCAGTTCTTTTCGGTGCTGAGCCCAAAGCCTTTGTCTCGCTGCTGTTGCGGCCACAGCTTTCAAGCGTTGATCCGCTGCTCGTCCTGCCGGGCATCTACTCACCCACTGCCTCAGCAACGCACAGGTTGGAGGCCATGCGCTATCTGGAGCACGCGGCCCGCCACACGATGGAGCTCTCTGGCCATGCAGACGTGCGGGCGAGCTCCTTCCGCACAGGAAGCCTGTTACATAATCTAGCGAGCTGCGTGGATGATGAGGGCGCCGGTGTGGCATGTCAGCGTTATGGTTGGGCTACGGGCACTGCCATACTCAACACGCTCGTACTTTGTTCTGCCCAACACCTGGAAGACAGCCCTCAGGAAGGGGAGGCAATCTCCCCCGCCGACGCCGTTTTGATGGGGGGAAGCGATGGGGAGGGTTCCTTGCTAAGCCTTCTGAGAGTCGAGGAGTCCAATCCGTTTCTGGATCCCCATTTTGCCCTTCGAGTCTGCCGCCAGAGGGACTTGGTCAAGGCTCAGGTCTTCCTATACGGGCTTATGGGCATGCACGAGGAGGCCGTGGGCGTGGCGCTTCAACATGAGGATGTCGCGCTAGCAAAGCAGAGTGCCTGCAAACCTTCGTCCCAGAAGACACGTCGAAAGCTGCTTACTTCTCGAACAGCTGCTGTTGGGGTTTCCTCATTCAGTAGGACTCATAGTTAATGTGTAATCTCTTTTTTTTGCCCTTGGTTATTGGAGAAGTAATATAAGGCTGTGGCTGCACATCGTCGAGCATGAGGCCTTAACCTGCGATGTCCAAAAGATCATTGGCCTGATCCGGGAATCCCAGGAGCCTTGGTAGCCCCTAAACCCTAAACCCTAAACCCTAAACCCTAAACCCTAAAGCCCAGTGGTACCCTTTACCCCTTTGTTTTTTTTTTTTAGGTTCCAAGTTCTGGGTTCCCTTTATACAGTAGCCAAGCAAAAAATGGGGGGTGCCCTGAGTATGATATGATGACTGGGCTTCCGAGGAGCTCACCATCCGAGATGTACTGCCCTACCTCCCGGACTCTATGACCATCGACGCATTCAAGGCCGAGATCTGCGAGTGCCTGGACACCTATGAGGGTCACTTTGTCATAGCTGGGCAACATTTTACATTTTTAAGGGCACTTAAACCCAATAAGGAATAGAAATTTAGTTTTTTTATTATCCCAACCATGGACTAGGTCAGATCGTCACATTGCGTCAAGAGATGGACGACCACCGACGGGCCTTGCAGGGCTTCAAGGAAGACTTGAAGCAGGCAGAAGAGCGATGCCCCTTGCATGATGTTCTGCTGAGCGTGCTGTTTTTTTCATTGTTGTTTTCAAGCTGTCTTGAGTCTTGTTCCTCCCAACACAACATCCCAGAAAGCCGAAGAAGTTAGTTGCCAGAAGTTTCAAGAACGCGGTATGGGTTGGGATGTTCCCCCTCGTACTAACAGTCCTCAGTCGGGATTATAATCGGGGGTACAAGAAGCCTTATTAAGGACTGTTCGTATAAAGGGGGAACATCCCAATGTATACTTGAAGGTTCATGGTACTTGCTAACCACTTATAACTGTACTTATAACCCTACGTATAATACCAAAGGGCCTTATAGGGGTTATCCCAATTATAAGTAGGGTTATAAGCCCAGTTATAAGTGGTTTAGGGTTCAGGGTTCAGGGTTTAGGGTTTAGGGTTTAGGGTTTGGGGTTTAGGGTTCTTCAGTCCCATGAACCTCCAAGTAGGTATTGTGGTGGCCCAAGATCAAGCCTGCGAGCTGTGCGGAGGGGAGGTGATCCGGGAACGCTTCTTGGTAGCCCAGCGGTACCCTTTACCCCTTTTTGTTTTGTTTAGGGTTTAGGGTTTAGGGTTTAGGGTTTAGGGTTTAGGGTTTAGGGTTTAGGGTTTAGGGTTTAGGGTTTAGGGTTTAGGGTTTAGGGTTTAGGGTTAGTAGCTAACCCAAAAACGGGTGCCCTTATTGTGCGATGGTTCCTGGGCTACCAAGGCTTCTATGCCTTTGCGTGCAGCCACTGCTGCCATGAGGCCTGCCTGCGCGCGCTGACCCTTGGTCGTCATTTAAAGGTTTGGGGTTTAGGGTTTAGGGTTTAGGGTTTAGGGTTTAGATGGGTCGGATAGAGTTCGCTTCCATGAGTTCATTTGCAAGAACGATCCAGGATTCTCCCATCGCTCTCCGCGCAGACGCGTGAGCAGGTATCTTAGTAGCTGAGTGAGTACGCTTTACACTTTTTGGGCTACTACAATCCCCTATAGAAGTGAAAGTTTATGAACCCCGCACCCCAAACCCCAAACCCCAAACCCCAAACCCCAAACCCCAAACCCCAAACCCCAAACCCCAAACTCCAAACCCCAAACCCCAAACCCCAAACCCCAAACCCCAAACCCCAAACCCCAAACCCCAAACCCCAAACCCCAAACCCCAAACCCTAAACCCTAAACCCTAAACCCTAAACCCTAAACCCTAAACCCTAACCCTAAACCCTAAACCCTAAACCTAAACCAGCAACTAAGGTGTTGAAGCTCGAGGCGGCGAGGCTGCAGCATCAGGCAGCTGCCGCTGGCGCGCAGCCAGCCGCGCAAGTGCTGCCCTCCCTGGCAGAGGTGTGGTAATTAGGGTGTAGGGTTTAGGGTTTAGGGTTTAGGGTTTAGGGTTTAGGCCCCCAGGTAGTAGGATCCTTTAAAATAAGGTACCCCCCCCTAACAAGAACCCCCAAATAGCAGGATCCCTGAAATCAGGTACCCCCAAATAAGAACCCCCAAATACTAGGATCCCTTGAAAGAAGGACCCCAATAAGGTACCCCCTAGATAGAACCCCCAAATAGTAGGATCCCTTATAAGAAGGACCCCAATAAGGCACAAACCCGAGTATCGGAAACCCCCTTGAGGTGGAGGATGAGCTTGATGGCATCCTTGCCGAGGACTGCCCACTGTGCGGCCAGCTCATGATCGACACCATACTGAAGCCCTTCATCGATTCTTTGTCATAGTCGGGTACCATTTTACGTTTTTAAGGGTACTCAAACCAAATAGGGAATATAAACTTAAGTTTTTAATATTATACCAACCATGAACTAGATTCTTGCTAGCCCAGTGGTACCCTTATCCCTTTTTTTTGGTTCAAGGTTCCCTTATAAAGCAGCTAAGCCCCAAAAAAGGGTGCCCTTATCATAATATGGTCACTGGGCTACCAAGGATTCCAGTGAGGTTGAGGAAATCGAGTCCTGGACGATAGGACCAGGGTGACACGACTTCGTCACTACCTGCCGTGGCAGGAGCCTGATTCCCTACTAGGGTTTAGGGTTTCGGGTCCAGCGTCTAGGGTCTAGGGTTTAGGTTTTAGGGTTTAGGGTTTAGGGTTTAGGGTTTAGGGTTACTGCAGTCCTATAACTGTCGACTCCTGACACCTATGCCTTAACTGATGCTAAGACTCGTGCTCTCGAGGGCACCCGGTGAAGGCGCTTCCTCTCGAGCTTGGTGTATAGCTGAAGGTGAGGGAGCTGTATCCCTAAACCCTAAACCCTAAACCCTAAACCCTAAACCCTAAACCCTAAACCCTAAACCCTAAACCCTAAACCCTAAACCCTAAACCCTAAACCGTATCCTGCTGCGTTCAAAGATTGGGTTGCTCTAGGTTGCTCTAGGGAACCTAAACCCTAAAAAGGACCTTGCCTGCCTAATGTGCGAGAGTGAGCGACTAAACCCTAAACCGCCTAAACCCTATAAAGCCTAAACCCTATACCCTATAAACCCTACAAACCCTATACCCTTTAGACCCTTTCAACCCTGAACCCTACAAACCCTAAACCCTAAACCCTCAACCCTAAACCCGTTAAAATGCTTAGAAGGCTTCGGGGAGGGGCGCCGTAGAGTCTCTCTGGGATGACGCCCATGCGCCACAGCCATGCTCCAAGGGAACCCAAAAAAAGGCGGTCCACCCTGCCCCCCTGTCCCTAAACCCTAAACCCTAAACGCTAAACCCTAAAGGGGCTGTAAAGCGTCTCCTTAGGGCCTGATAAGCTTCAGAGGGGTAATTGTCGGGCGTTTGCAGACTTTGGGCGTGTTTGGTTTGCAGGGTTTGGGGGTCATAGGGTTTCGGGTTTTGGGTTTATCCAAGGGTAGTTTCATGGGCCCTGAATCTGGTCCCTTACCTGCTTTAAAGGGTTCTGAATTATGGGCCCCGGGGTTGTATAGGGTCTATAAGGGGTATTTAAGGGATCCCCGTTTAGGTGCCCTTTTTAAGGGACCACGTAACTACCCTAAGATTTTAGGGTTTGAAGTTCACCGTCAAGGTCTACTTGAGAATTGCTCATGGCAGAGTGGAGAGTAAGTTATGTAATGCAGCAAGGGTATCTACACGATGTATGGGCATCTGGGAGCTTGCTGGGTTAGGGTCTGGGGCTGGGGTCCGGGGTGGTTTAGGGTTAGGGTTTAGGGTTTAGGGTTAGCGTTTAGGGTTTAGGGTTTAGGGTTTAGGGTTTAGGGTTTAGGGTTTAGGGTTTAGGGTTTAGGGTTTAGGGTTTAGGGTTTAGGGTTTAGGGTTACCTTATCATAAAGAAAGAGGCTTATAGAGCTCAGTCAGGAGATGCTGCTTTGCACCCGGCTCGGGCGAAACGACGCTTACAAAAGTGAAGGGGGGGCGGCCTTGATCCGAAACCTTCAGGGTTTGGGATTTTCAGGGTTTAGGGTTCAGGGTTCAGGGTTCAGGGTTTAGGGTTTAGCGTTTAGGGTTTAAGGGTTTAGGGTCTAGGGTAGAGCCTAGGGTTTGTGACGAAAGCCCGGCCTAAAGTGCTCTGCTGTAGCGGAGACTGGGTTCAAAAAGGGGTTGCAGCCCAACGCCTACAGCTGCCCGAGCTCACAGCGCGCTGAGGGCCCTTCAAACCTCAGGGTTTCGGGCTTAGTTTCGGGCGTATACGGTTTAGGGTAGCCAGCATTTCGAAGCCCAAAGCCCTTAACCCAATTGCCTTGCCTGCTTCGCGCGAGCGTGAGCGTGCGAAGCCCACACATTTCAGTTTGAAAGCCTAAAGCCTCGCGGCTCTGAGGGCATCTGCAGGCCTAAGCCCGATATGAACCCTCCCCAAAGACCTAATCCCTGAACGCTAAACCCTTTAGGGTTTAGGGTTTAGGGTTTAGGGTTTAGGGTTTAGGGTTTAGGGTTTAGGGTTTAGGGTTTAGGGTTTAGGGTTTAGGGTTTAGGGTTTAGGGTAACCCTAAAACCTAAACCCTCAACCCTGAACCCTAACCCTAAACCCTAAACCCTAAACTCTCCCCGCCATGGACGACCTCGAGGGCTACCGGCAGGCGCAAGCTGCGGAATGGCAGCAGGCACCGGCTCGCTGAGTCTCAATAAACATACCTAGTGTTTAGGGTTAAGGGTTTAGGGACCCTGTGAACTCCCTAGGTTCTTCTACGATTTGCTTAAGAACCCCTCCCAAGAAAGAAGACAAAGAAGCCCTTTGTTACCCGTCTATGGAAGAATAGTTTTAGAATTTTGGGGGCTTCAGAAAAGCAAATAGCAGTCTAGGCGAAGGAAGAACTTCCAGGGTCATTTTTCGGGGCAGAGGGGGAAACCTTGTTGGTTTAGGGTTTGGGGCTTCTCACCAGGTTTCGAAGTACGGGAGCGAACAACTGGTTCCCTAAACCCTAAACCCTAAACCCTAAACCCTAAACCCCTTCGGAGCAGAGTCTCCTGCACGAAAGGCTCGGCATCCCTTTGAGCTTGAGCAGCTGCTTGTGCCTTTCCAACAAGGCGCTTTGTGGCCGCACGAAACGCCCTCAATGCTCCCAAAGAGGGCTTCGGGTTTGGGGTTTGGGGTTTGGGGTTTGGGGTTTAGGGTTTAGGGTTTAGGGTGTCACGGTTTAGGGTTTAGGGTGTCACGGTTTAGGGTTTGGGGTTCCAGGCGCTGGGCTTCGGGTTCAGTGTTCGGTGTGCAGGGTGTAGGGTCTAAGCCCCCTCAAATTCTGAACCCAAAATCCTTAAAGCAGCCTGATGCGCGCCATGGCCTAATTTAGGGTGCAGAGTCTGGAGGTGTATGAGGCCTCGAGGGCACTCTTGCGCCGCAGGGCGGGGGGGGGCGGTTTTTGGGCGTATCATCTCCACGCCTGCCGTCAAACTACTATTCGCTTAAGAACCCTCCAAAAATAAAAGACATTCTTCCTTGTAAGGGTGATGTAGGGAATTGCAACCCTAAACCCTAACTCCCGAAACCCTAAACTAAAACCTAAAACCTAAACCCTAAACCTCTCTTACTATGTATATACATATATATGTACATACCCTAATGGATTCGTCGGCATAGGCACAAACCTTCGTGCATACGCACGCTGTGCCTATGCCCACCAAAGTGTGTGCCTGTGCTCACGAATGGGCACAACCTTCGTGGGCACAGGCACAAACCTTCGTGGGCATAGGCACAACCGTCACCCCACCCAACCCCAACCCCCCCTACCCCCTTCACACCGGCTTCGAATGTGCAGGCCGGGTTTAGGGGTATAACTTGATGCTGAAGGTGTAGGGTTCAAGATGCAGCTGAAAATGAGAATTGTGTATTGCCTTAATGATGTGGGATTCTCTGGGTGGGTGGGTACTTCTCCATCACACGATGAAAAAGCTCGACTAGTGAAAGCTAGTACATGAGCTGCTGAACCCTAAACCCTAAACCCCAAACCCTAAAGCCTAAACCCTAAACCCTAAACCCTAAACCCTAGGGATAGCAGCAAAGGGCTTTGGAGTCCAGGGCTAAGGCTCCAGGAAGCTGCCTAGGCCTTCGGCCCAGAAGGGTCCCCAAACGCGCCGCGGGTTGTACTTGCTCCTAGGGGTTTAGGCTTTGGCGTTTAGGGTTTAGGGTTTAGGATTTAGGGTTTAGGGTTTAGGGCTTAAGGTGACAGTGTGTGGTAGTGTGTGTGTGTGTGCGTGTCGTCTCATATCCCAAGCTCCTGGCTCAAAAGGGTTTAGGGCTTAGGGTTCGGGTAGACAAAAGGCAACAGGTTAGCCCTAAATCCGCAAGCACCGTGGAGGCCAGAGGTACCCGTATCAACCTGAAACACCAATTCCATCCGGCTAGCCCCATGTGCCCCAAACCTCAGGGTTTAGGGTTTAGGGTTTAGGGTTTAGGGTTTAGGGTTTAGGGTTTAGGATGTGCCCCAAACCTCAATCCTTAAACCGAAGCCCCTATAAAGCTTCCCTCGAACTCGAAACGTATCCTAGCCCCAGGCCCTAAAGCCTAAAGCCCCTAAACCCTAAGCCCTAAACCCCTAACCTACTTCCGGCAAGCGAACCCCGCAGTGCTGTGGCTAGACGGATGGCGAAAAACAACCTAAACCCCAAACCCTAAGCTTTTGGGGTGAAATTCTTCCAAAGGGGAACTGGCCGCCGGTAATCCTGGGTTTTTTCGTGTACAAAGAACAGGCTGCGGTCTTGCAATTGTAGGGTGACTTAGGCCGAAGAACTGGAGTCGCCCCAAGTGAGAGACAGGGAGAACCCTCAACGTTCTCTAGGAGTGTTGTGTTACCAGTATGTTGGTAAGGGCTTTGTTTCTTTGCTGGCGACTGTGTGTAAGGCCAAGTAAAAAAAAAAACAAACGATCTCCCGCTATTCCTACAATGTCCTAACACGATGCCACAGTAGACCCTGCAGCGCTGTGGCCAGTCGCGTGGCAAACCAAACCCCAAACCCCAAACCCCAAACCCCAAACCCCAAACCCCAAACCCCAAACCCCAAACCCCAAACCCCAAACCCCAAACCCCAAACCCCAAACCCCAAACCCCAAACCCACCAAAGCGGTTTAGGGTTTTGGGTATAGGGAAGGGCAAACCCTAAACCCTAAACCCTAAACCCTAAACCCTAAACCCTAAACCCTAAACCCTAAACCCGCCCGCCACCCCACTCTCTTGTCTTTTGGGGTAGGCGGGCGCTGGTCGAGCGCTCAGTGAGACCCTGCGAGGGAGCCCCAGGCGGGCGACCGAGCTGGCCTCCAGGCTGGCTTACCCTCCAGGCAGGCACAGGCCGAGTCAGCAGTTGTCACTGTATTATATTATATTACCCTAAACCCCAAGCTCCGCGCACATGGTGGGGTCCTGCATTGGAGGGCCTGCTGGGACGGCCCCTGACCCTGGCCCTCTGGCGTGGTGTTGGGCCCTGGCCCTGGGCCTGGCCCTGGCCCTGGCCCTAGCACTGGCCCTGCCCCTGGCCAGGCCTTTTCTGGCCTGTCTGGCCCTCTGGCCCCAGCCCTGGCCCGGCCCTGGTTCTGGCCCTGACCTGACTAGTTTTTGTGGTGGCCCGAGCCCTGACAGGCCTTGGAGGGGCCTGACTAGTTTTGCACCCTGGCCCTGGCTCTGGCCCTAGTCCTGACCTCTGGCCTGTTTGAGTCATCTTACCCCCTTGCGCCAAACCAAGCTGTCCGCGCACCAACTTCTGTCGGGGTGCTCTCCCTCTCTGGCTTTAGCCCCTTCGCGCCAAGTCCTGCCGTTTGCTGCAACTTTGTGCCTGGTCCTGACCCTGGCCCGGCACCCCAGCGCCAAGCCAAGCTATCCACCACACCAGCCCTGTTTCCGTGGCGCTCTGCCCAACCCAAGCTGTCCACTGTGTGTTCTTCCTGGCTGGAGCCCCTTCGCGCCAACCAAGCCTCGCTGCCTTTCTCTGTTCCTGGCCCGTCCCTTAGCCCTGCACGGACCCTGCCTCGTTTCCGTCTGCTGCAGCTTTGCGCCTGGTCCACGCACCTTGTGGAAATCCCAAAAGGGCGTGAGTGCTGACTCATGTGATGCTTGGTAAAAAAATAAAAGGTCTTAACTCCTTGAGAGTTGTAAGTGGGCGGTCTTGGGGTGGGTAGGTCTGCAGACTACCGCGCGCTCCCAAAGCGCGCTCCCGTTTGGCACGCCCTAAACCCTAAACCCTAAACCCTAAACCCTAAACCCTAAACCCTAAACCCTAAACCCTAAACCCTAAACCCTAAACCCTAAACCCTAAACCCTAAAAACCCCCTAAACCCTAAACCCTAAACCCTAAACCCTAAACCCTAAACCCTAAACCCTAAACCCTAAACCCTAAACCCTAAACCCTAAACCCTAAACCCTAAACCCGAATCTGACTCTCGCAGGTCAGAGAGCCGGCCAAAAGCCGCTGGCGGCCGCAGCCGGCAGCTGCTGCTGCCTTGTCTTCCTCTTGCTCTCTGTAGGCCCGCAGGGCTTGGGGGCAGCGTCTAGGGTCTAGGGTTTTCGCGTTTTAGGCTCTTAAGGTGTAGGCTTTATATGGGTTTAGGGTTGAGGGTGGTGAGGGTGTCTCCCCCTGCACGAGGGCAGAGCATTTTATTGTATGGCGCCGGACACCACTGCTAGGTCGACAGAGTTTAGGCCTTTTGGGTTTAGGGTTTGGGGTTTAAGGTTTCGGGTTTAGGGTTTAAGGTAGCAGAGTAGCCAGCTGACATGCAGGCTAACAGGGTAGCAGGGTAACAGGGTAAATTCGCCCGCTGCTGCGTGAAACCCACGCCACCGGACTCAGGGCTACCCAGAGACTCCAAAACCCCTTAATTAAGGAATATACCTTAAATCATATAAGGGTTCCTGTTATAAATTAAGGGATATACCTTAACTAAGGGTTTTGGAGTCTCTGGGTACGCCTTCCCACCTGGTACGTCGAAGGCGTACGAAGCCTAACCTTAAACTCCAGGTGATGGGCCCAGCGGTAGCTGGTTTAGGGTTGATGCCTGGGAGAGAGAGCGAGGGTTTAAGGTTTAGGGCTTAGGTTTTAGGATTTATGGTGCCAGGGCTTCTCCTTACCTAAGCCTGTGAAATGATGAATCGGGCTCGGATTTAGAACCACAAGCCCCAAATGAGGGATTTGTGAGGGGTTCTGCAATGAGAAGTATCGTATTTTGGGGAATGATGACAAGGGGGTTGCCCCCATTTTGGGGAAATACCAAAAAGAGACGGCAGTCCTTATGGCGTTTTGGGCTTCAGGTTTCGGTGTATCATTTTGAGGAGAGGAGGCAAGGCAGAAGGACTCGAGTTCGCGTGCGTACGTAGGGTTTAGGGTATTGGGTCTTAGAGTTCGTTCGGTTTTAGGGTTTGGGCGTAAGGTTCACTAGGATGCCCGGTGGTGCCCTTTTTTCTTTTTTGTTTTTTTTTTTAAGGGGGGGGAGGGGGGGGGTGGGGGGGCGGGGTAGGTTCCCGGTAGGTTCCCTTCTAGACACCGCAAAAAGGGCACCCTCTTTTGTCCCAAGCTACTGGGCAACCGAGTTCAAGATGTTAAGCTACTCCGGAGGCCTGCTGGGTTCCAAGCAAAGGGTCTCGCATCACCGTCAGGCACGCTCACTCCTTTGCAGTATGGGCTGACCATGAACCTCATCACGCGACAGATTGATCCCGACAACATCTACGAAGGACTTGGGGGTTTCCGAAAATAGGTGTACCCTTTTTGGGGTGTCCCTTTAAGGGGTCTCTATTCTATTTGGGGTATAAACGGGGTACCGCCCTATTTTGGGAAATGTCCCGTTGCTTCGGGTCGGGGCATTCAGGGGAGGGCCGCAAGCTCGAGGGGGAGCTGGGCCGTGAGGCCTTGGGCTCCCAAGGGTGTCGGCAGGGGATGTGAGGCTAAGCCCTACACCCTAAACTCCCTGAACTCTAAACCCTGACCTGGGGATTTCCTGAGAGCCGCTAAGGCGATGGGTCAGAGCTTCTTGTTTGTTTCAGGGTGGCGCCAGAAGGATGTGAAAAGAGGTGCAATTGAGCCCATTGGACCTGCAGACCCTTTAACTGCAACGAAACGAAGTAGACCCACACCGCGTAGCCCTGAGCAGGCTGGTTTAGGGTTTAGGGTTTTTAGGGTTTGGGGTTTAGGGTCGAAGCATTTGAAGCAGCTCTGCTGCTCCACTTGGTTCCCGCAGCTCCAGAAAGCGTCGTCCCAAGCACCACAACTTCCTAATGCCGCAAAATCTAGGAACCCATATGAAGCAGG